GGAATGTGTTTATGGAAATAAGCATTCAATAAGAGGGATTGGAAACCCTCCAGGTCAACAGAAAAATTATGGTACTTGTGGGAGCACCCACTGACTTCAGTAGACATGGGACTGAGCCATAAAATCTGGTTGTTTTGACAGTCCCACCTCCCATCTCTCATAAAACTCTTCTTTACAGACTGGATAATAATAATAATAAAAAAAAATGCTCTTCCTCCTACAGTGATTTAGTATAGAAAGTATTACTCGTACTCCACTGCAGTTTGCATTTAGGGCAGTATTGAAATAAATGAGCAATAAGTGAATGTGGTCCTAGTAGAGAGAACAGCCCATAAGTGCACTCAGTTTCCAGGTTCTTGCATCAGTTAAGTACTTAATGGGAAAGCTGTAGTAATAAACTGCTTTGCCTGAACAGTGGCTGATAAAGGAGAGCGAAGAATTGGTCCAAAGCTTTCCCAGAAAAGTCAGAAAATTTAACTAGTTAATAAACTAAAAATGAGGCCTGGCTGTGTGAAAATTTGAGGACAGGTAGTGATTTAAGTGGCAGGGTTTCTGTCCTGTGGTGCAAAAGCTCTTTAGGAACTCCACAGTAGTAAAGTCGAACTCTGTAACAGATCCTTCTAGGATCTCTCCTTGGAAGCAGGAGCTGGCATCATGACAAAGTCACAGCTAGGTGCAGCTCCTTGTTCTTAGACCATTTGGGAAAAACACAGGGAAGACAACAGAGTGGAAGAGTCCATTCAGAAGTTGGATCCCAAGGCAAGGCTGCAGGGAAGGACTTGGGATAGTAGAAAGCCAATTAAAGTTTGGCAGCAGCCCAAGGCTTTATCGAAGCTCCTTTTAAACTAAAACTGTGAAGATGTGAGGTATGATGACGAGCACATTGGACTACCCTTGAGCTAGATAGTAGTCTGGGTCCTGTAAGCAGTGAAGGGAAGTGGTACTTATGATGCTGCTCTATTAAGAAAAGCATTTTACCTGCATGCTCTGTATAGTCCCCCAAACCAGGAGGAACAGAGGCTGTGCTATTCATTGCTCACTGGTGGGGAGTTTACTGACTTTATACCAGAGACGCCACTAGCTTTTTCTTCCTTTCTTGATTAATGCCTTAAACTACGAGCACATGAAATCTCAGATAGCAATTGCTCTTCTGCATGTATTGCAAAGCCTTTTCATCTGTTTAGCTCCCAAGAAGGAAGATTTATGAGAAAGATATATTAATGCTCATTTCTGCTGGAGTGCAGCAAATCGTTCAGCAAATGTTTGGGTGCTTGACCTACATTTCCTAGCCTTTAGGATGGAACTTTGCTTGATGGACATACTGTTTATTTTGCACTCATTTTTCATGTCTATGTTTGAGGAAGGAATTGTGGGCCTCATTTTTCAGTGCTGTTATTATCAGCTGTTCCACTGATTTCGACTAGTGTAAGAATTTTGAATCACTTGTACGTACGGACACTTTAGCAAAGGATTTTAAACTTTCTTCTAGGGTCTTGCTCCTAGTCAGCATTGTCCAACTGTAGAACTACACATCAGGAGACCATGTTCATTCCTAGATCTATTATTATGTGATTGCAGAAGAAACATTTATCCCTGTTGCTTTGTCTCTACAAGATAAATAATATTTGTCTGACTTTGGAAAGTCAGTTTGATTTTTCTAAGTGGCAGAATCAGTACTAGTCTTTCCTGTTATGTGAGTATGACAGAATGCATATAATGTGCTGCATTTTTGTATTGCAAGTAGTAACAACATAATGAAAATAAAATCATACTTTGCAAGGTGGAAAATTTCACTGTAAGCATTTCTTCTCAATGTATCTGGCCAAAACAGGAAGGGGGAAAAAAAACACTCTGATCTGTACACTACATTAACTACAAATGAAAGGCTGTTCCCATTCTTTTTCATAGAGCTTTTCATGGGTAATCATTAACGTCTCATCTTAATAACCTTTCTTCGCTTTACAGTAATGTCATGTTTAGTAGGGAGTCATTCTTTGGATCAAGCCTCACAAGAAAACTTAGGTATATACATTCAAGTAACAATTGACCCTTACTCTTTTCATATTTCTTGCATGCCATTCTCTGCCTGCACTTTCTGTTTTTACTACAGTAGTTCATCTAACCACCATAAAAAGTAAGGGAAGATAAGACTGAAAAGTCATTTAAGCATAAAAAGAAAGTTGCATGACCTTGCAGATAGTTCATTGTTCTGCTGTTCAGAAAACATGGGATCTAATCCTGGCTCTGCCAATGATCTGCTTAGAAACAAGTGCTTCTTTTTGTTTTCGTAGAATGGGAATGATACTAACCTACTCTGCAAATCATTTAGAAATTTACTGTAAAAAAATATACTGTAAGAGCTAAATACTGTTCCTTATGCAGTCCCAACCTTGCCAACACAAATTCATGCAAGTCACTTTGCATTTGAGTTCAGTGGAACAACATCTCTGCATGTGTATTTGCAGGTTCTGGTTCAGCAAATGGAAAACACGTGGATGCTTTTGATCATCTGAATAAAGTTAGTGTCATGCTTAAATACCTTGCTGAACTGTGACCTAAGATGTGGGGCAAGAACTTTATCTTCCTGCAAAGAAACATCAAAATAATTTGCAGCATTTCAGGAATCTGAAAGATACATCATCGGAAATACTAATATTTTGACTAAATTGTCAAGCATTTTATTCTATCCCAGACAAACATCTTGCTGTCATTCAACTTTAGCTCATTGTTCTCCTTCTCACTTCATTCCATAAACATGAAATCATCAACACACAACTCAGCTTTCCTAGCCTAAGCTCTTCAACTTTTGGAGAGCTGCTAGTGAAGCACTCCATTTTTTCATTGGATGATTGGCCCATGCAAAATAGTCAAGAGATAGATAGTGATTTTGCAGTTTGGTTTGCTTTCTAGTGGTTGATACATGGAGATATGTTCACTGCAAAGTAAAGAGTGGGTCAACATCCATATGGTTTCTACCTATG